CTAACGGGTTTGGGCTCACATGACTTAATAGATGTCCTTTTAGTCATTAAACCCCTCCTTTTCTTGATTGTTTCGACCCGACGCTTGTTCGTGAGCATCTCTCTCACAAAGCTCTCTCTGAAGTTGACAAAGCTCTCTCTTTCTGTCAACGTTCCCCCTCTGCTGTTTATCATCACGTCGTATTTGTTTTACAATAATTAAGAAAGTTTTCTTCCTGTCTGGGTTTTGTCACCAACACACCCTCTTGACCCAATTCAATCTTCAAAACTCTCCGACTTAGGAGTTTCATAATTGGTCAAAATTTTGACATGCTTTTACAACCCTCACAGAAGGAGTGGGTAAGGACATGATACCAGGAGTATGCATTATTCCAATAAAGGACAAAAGAATTAACCAAAATTTAGAATATATTGATATTGGAGCAACCAGTAGTCATTGAACACAAGAAGGAAAAAGCACAAAGTTTCCATCAATGAAGGATGTTTTGACACAGCATTAGATGCCTAAGGACTGGATGACCAAGTAAAGGTGCTATTTGAACATATTCATCTTATTCCCCAAGTAAGGAATAAAACACCCTCAAAAGCTATGAAATAGCTAGTTTATAATGTCAAGTACAGGAAAACATCAATAAATTTCAAGAACAATGAGAACAATGTCTTGCAAGGATCTCTTGCAAGACATAAGAGATCCTTGTTTGAAATTTCATAGGAAATTTACAACAATTTTAAACTGTGACATGGTTGGCTACATCCAATCAAATTTATGTTACTAAATTGACAAGCGCTTATATAATTTAACGCAATTAACTTAATGCTTATATTTATTTTAACGCAATTATTTTATTTTATTTTAACGCTTATATTTATTAATTTAACGCAATAATTTAACACTTATATGTTAAAAGTTTTTCATAACAAATTTGTGTTTGATTCCTGTTAAATTTTCTTCGTGCATTCTATTTTAGAACAAGTAAGACAAAACCTTTCACACTTTGTTTCTAGCAGTTTAATCACTAGTGATTAAACTGCTAGAAACAAAGTGTGAAAGGTTTTGCCTTACTTATTCTAAGTAGTTCTAGCTTTTAATGCATAGAACTATTTTAGAACATTGAGTAGTCATCCTCCGACAATTTAATGTAGTTGAAAATATTTGTGAAATATTGAAGTTTATGTTATTTGCTGGTTTATTGGTGATTGGTGTCATTTATTGTGATTTTATTGTAATCACTATAATTAATAACATTTATCACAGTAATATATTACCTATTTCTCTAACTTGCTAAAAATTCTTGAAAATTTACTAACCAGATTAAATCTAAATTATTGATTTAATAAATTATTCTTATTGATAATTGTTCTAATATTGTTTGATTTACAATTTAAATGTATTTGAAAAATGAAGTTACAATAATTCCAAAAGTGTAATTAATGAAGAAAATTTTCAAAACTGATTTTTGCAGTTATGATCTATTATTTATAACATGAAAAAGGAGTTGGAATAACAATATCTTTTATGTTTCAAAAGTAATAGATTTAAGATAAAGCAATATTTTTTTTATATATTATATGGAAAATATTGTTATATAGTTTCATTGCTTCATAAATCACAATATAATTTTTGTATACTACCCTGTTTTAAAATAAAAATTATAAAATAAAATATGCATTCATTTTCAAATATATCATATCAGTTGTAAGCTAAAAATAGTAACCAAATAGAACAGAAGTTTGATTTTGTTATCTGCGTAACATAGTATAGTTTGATGATTTGTCTAAATTATAACATCAAATAATCAAAACTGAAAGAATATCAGCTGTTATGTGATATTTACTGATTTGAGGGCTTACTGTATTGGTTAAATGTAATAATTTTGATAACTAAAATATTCACACTAAAAATAACATACTGTTAACATTTTAAAACTGAAGTTTGATCATAGAAGTTAAAGAAAGGTATAATAATATTTAGTGCTAGGAATAATTATAAAGCCACATTTAAAAATTTGCACATATTAAAGAAATAATAATTTTAATGTGGTAATAAAATAAATAGCTGTTATATAGCAAATATCACTAACACTTTTCAAAATTATTTGTTGCAGATTTTGTTTTAATAAAATATAGCATAAATGGATGGAAATAATTATAAAGCCAGTTGACACTTAGTACTTACTGTGAAGTCTGTATATGCAAGCTTGACTTTCTGATAACATACTAATATTCAGCATTTTATTCTACACAGCTTTTAAAGATCTTTCAAAAATTAGTATAATGCCACATGAGAAAAGTTTAGATAATAAGGAAAAGATTCAAATAAAGGCTTACTAAGATTCTGAATTACCTATTCCACAAACTGGCAAAAAGTTAAATTGTTCCAGGTCAGTAATTGATGATTATAAAAACAAGGGTAAAACATGATAAAATGAAATAATTCCAATGAAAATCATTTATTACATAACAGAACAGACAACATATTTTTATGAAAGCTACAAAAGAACATTTAAATCAGCCTAAATTTGATATGAGGTTAAATTTGCAAGTGTGTGCATCAAATTTTGCAGTCAAATGATAATGCTCGATGGACAAATTTGCAAAGAAACGAAGACTTACTAAGTGACACAAAAGTGCAAGAGTAGATTCTGATAAAACTACAGTATATTACTTTTGACCAAGGGTGGAAGAAATTGTTTTTTACTGAAGTGTAATGTAGATAGATCAAATGGCTACCAATGTTACTGCTATGATTTTCATCACAAACGTGAAATTCATATGAGCTGCAATTTTGATGGAGGCTGTTATGGAAATTTTTTATTTTTTTCTGCTGACAAATATAAATAATAGTTCGTATGAACTTTCAGATATACATAGAGATTCTGAAGATTGTTTTCTGAAAATACTATTGTGATGATTTCATACTTCAGCAAGATAATGTAATCATGTGCCTATTTTTACAAGATGTTAACTTAACAAGAGAAATTTTCACATGCTTGATTGGCCAGCTTATAGTCTGGATCTTAATCTGATTGAGAGTATTTGGATTGTTCTATCTTGATGAGTTTAAATAATGGGAAACATTATAATGCCATTGAAGAACTCCAGTTCATTTGAAAGGAGGGGAATGGGATCCTCAAGGAAATGCTATGAAAACTTCTGTCTATGAAAACTGGGCTAATAGATGTAATTAAAAAAACAATGGAGCCAGCACAAATTATTAAATTTCAAAATAAAAATTTGTATCAATAGATATTGTTAAGTGGTTTTATATTTATTTCCACTGCTTTTGTCATGGCAACATTCCTGACACAGCATTAGATGCCTAAGGACTGGATGACCAAGTAAAGGTGCTATTTGAACATATTCATCTTATTCCCCAAGTAAGGAATAAAACACCCTCAAAAGCTATGAAATAGCTAGAAGTTTATAATGTCAAGTACAGGAAAACATCAATAAATTTCAAGAACAATGAGAACAATGTCTTGCAAGGATCTCTTGCAAGACATAAGAGATCCTTGTTTGAAATTTCATAGGAAATTTACAACAATTTTAAACTGTGACATGGTTGGCTACATCCAATCAAATTTATGTTACTAAATTGTATAAAAATATGTTACTAAATAAAATAATTGCGTTAAATGCTTATATAATTTAACGCAATTAACTTAACGCTTATATTTATTTTAACGCAATTATTTTATTTTATTTTAACGCTTATATTTATTAATTTAACGCAATAATTTAACACTTATATGTTAAAAGTTTTTCGTAACAAATTTGTGTTTGATTCCTGTTAAATTTTCTTCATGCATTCTATTTTAGAACAAGTAAGACAAAACCTTTCACACTTTGTTTCTAGCAGTTTAATCACTAGAGATTAAACTGCTAGAAACAAAGTGTGAAAGGATTTGCCTTACTTATTCTAAGTAGTTCTAGCTTTTAATGCATAGAACTATTTTAGAACATTGAGTAGTCATCCTCCGACAATTTAATGTAGTTGAAAATATTTGTGAAATATTGAAGTTTATGTTATTTGCTGGTTTATTGGTGATTGGTGTCATTTATTGTGATTTTATTGTAATCACTATAATTAATAACATTTATCACAGTAATATATTACCTATTTCTCTAACTTGCTAAAAATTCTTGAAAATTTACTAACCAGATTAAATCTAAATTATTGATTTAATAAATTATTCTTATTGATAATTGTTCTAATATTGTTTGATTTACAATTTAAATGTATTTGAAAAATGAAGTTACAATAATTCCAAAAGTGTAATTAATGAAGAAAATTTTCAAAACTGATTTTTGCAGTTATGATCTATTATTTATAACATGAAAAAGGAGTTGGAATAACAATATCTTTTATGTTTCAAAAGTAATAGATTTAAGATAAAGCAATATTTTTTTTATATATTATATGGAAAATATTGTTATATAGTTTCATTGCTTCATAAATCACAATATAATTTTTGTATACTACCCTGTTTTAAAATAAAAATTATAAAATAAAATATGCATTCATTTTCAAATATATCATATCAGTTGTAAGCTAAAAATAGTAACCAAATAGAACAGAAGTTTGATTTTGTTATCTGCGTAACATAGTATAGTTTGATGATTTGTCTAAATTATAACATCAAATAATCAAAACTGAAAGAATATCAGCTGTTATGTGATATTTACTGATTTGAGGGCTTACTGTATTGGTTAAATGTAATAATTTTGATAACTAAAATATTCACACTAAAAATAACATACTGTTAACATTTTAAAACTGAAGTTTGATCATAGAAGTTAAAGAAAGGTATAATAATATTTAGTGCTAGGAATAATTATAAAGCCACATTTAAAAATTTGCACATATTAAAGAAATAATAATTTTAATGTGGTAATAAAATAAATAGCTGTTATATAGCAAATATCACTAACACTTTTCAAAATTATTTGTTGCAGATTTTGTTTTAATAAAATATAGCATAAATGGATGGAAATAATTANTCAGGATTGAAACTTCCTCAGGTTAAGATTACAATGATCTTGCTGCTTAATGAATCTGCTCTATATATTGAAGTGTAGAAGATTGTTGTTTGGTTCATTCTGTTACTTAAACAATTGTGATTGAGTATGTTTACGATAGAATTATTTTTTGTTTTATTAAGTTTGCTGTTAAAAATTTTTGTTTCTTATATTAATTATTACTATTTTTAGGTACCTAAGATAAGATAAAATTTGGGACAATGTGTGGACAGAATAGACATAAGAAACAAGTCTTGGATGTTCTAAAAATGGATTAATATGGATAATAAATAAGTAATATTAACTAATACATTTATAAATGCTTTATTATATTTATCAAGTACAGTACAGTTAAGTCTCCATATTCATAGGCATTATATATGTCTATACTTCCAATGAAAGTCTGAAATTTTTCAAAAATCTGTGCTCTTGCCATATAGCTCCAGATATTTTTTACGTATGCTTAAATACTTCTGCAATCATTTACATTTAGCAGAAAAATGTTTACCTATGTTAAAAAGTTTTTAATTCTGTTTTATAATGCTGAATAACATTTTAGAACATTTCTGAAAATACCCGTGTAAAAATTTTATTACATAGTTAAGAAAACATTCAATAGTATTCTTCAGACATATGACACAAAGATCACAAGCTATAAATTTTATGACTGTTACCATGAAAATAGAAATCTGTGAATACAGATCTTGTGAATATGGAGACTTGATTGTATCAAATAAATATTTCATAGTTTATGATAGTTTTCATTGATAATTTAAGATACAGTGGGTGATCAATTAACGAACAGATTGGATAACGAACAAATCAGGTAACAAACACTTTCGCGAAAGATTTTTATGTTTGGACGATGAACACCCCACAGAACAAACACAAGAAGAAGCGACATAAAATAACAAATACCGATTGGTCTTCCCTTTATATTAATTAAATTATCCACAACCATGAGGCAGATAATAGTGAGGGCTTATCAGACCAATGATGGGCACAAACGCTCAGGGATCAAAGTGAAAACAATTTAATAAACTCAAAAAATTACTAAGTGTAAAAAATACATAAGTGTAAAAACAAAAATCCAAAATGCATTTTGGATTATTTTCCCAATAGAAAATACTCCCTCATCAGTTGGTATTAGTTAAAGATAATGTTATAATAGAATTATACAAGGTAACAGTCAACTTAAAAACTAAGCCTAAAGTTATACAATATAAAAATTGAAGACACCACTATAACAGTATGAGTAGTAAGCATCATCAGTAGGTATTATCTAAAGTAGATGGTATATTAAAAATTATACAAAGTAAAGGTAAACTTAAAACTATGCCTAAAACTATACAATATAAAGGTGAAGATGCCATTATAACAGTATGAGCAGTAGGCAATATCAGTGTAGACAGGTGTAATAAATCTTCATGACTTTGCATGGTGGAATGACATATAGGGTGCTGATACAAAACAGTTATAAGTTAGACAATTATTAGTTAACACTAATGGAATAAAGTTATACAGACAGGTAATGTACATTACCTGTCTGTATAACTTTAGTCCATTACCAAAAACAGTAAGACGACAAAGTAGCAGGTGCCAGCTTACAACAAGATGCTGGGAGTGGTCGTGAGGGAGGTGTGTGTCAGTCCACATCTGGTGTACAAGTGGTGACAACATATGATACAATTACAAGTTCCCAACAGTTTTTAACAATACATATGGTCGTAACATCACAAAGATATTTAGTTTTTAAAAGATATAATTATACCACCCTTCGTCAATTTTAACACCTAAGTTATCATTAATTCTATTAACATTATCAATTTTTAAAATCTCTATTTGCTCAAAATACTTACGTTTATAAGTGTTGGTTTCAAATTTTATCGCTTTTATTGTATTTTTATCAATTTCACAACCATATAGATTGCAGTGTTTGGCAACTGCAGAGTATTCAGAATTGCATTTGATGGCGTTTATGTGTTCTTTTATACGAACATGGAGACATCTTTTTGTTTCACCAACATAGGACATAGGGTTATTACAGCTATAGTTAAACCTGTATATCACATTGCTTTTTTTTTAAGGATATTAACCATATTGTTTGGGTGGTTTGGTTGGATGTATTTTTGGGTTTTATTACAAAGGTCAAGGACTAAATTGATGTTGGTACTGTTTAAGACCATTTTAATTTTCTCAAACATATTTTTGACATATGTAAGTTTAAAGAACTTTTTAGTATCGTTGTTGTTAACGGGATTAACGGTATGGGCATTGTTGTTATTATTATTACACTTAAATTGTTTTAGCCATTTGTCTAGGAGTACTTTTGGTAATTATTTAGTAAGAAGGTCTGAACGATGTCCATGATCTCAATATTCTTTTTTGTAATCAGAGGTAGTTCTATTGGATATCTTTTTGATGAAATTGACAAAAATGTTTCTTTTTATGAACAGGAGAGTATGTGAATGGTAGTCCATGACTTTATTAACGTTACAAGATTTTTTATAATTTTCTATTTCAAGGGTATTAGAATGTCTAGTAACTAAAACATCCAGGTAACTAAAACATCCAGGAATGGTAATTTGTTGTGAAGTTCATTCTCAACTTCAAATTTAATGTTGTTATCAAGACTATTAACAGTTATAACCAAGTCATTAGGATTTAAGATTACAGGGTCGTAGATTATAAAACAATCGTCGACATATCTGTTAAAGAATTTGATGCTATGGAAGCAAGAAGAAAATGCTAGAAGCAACTTTTGTAATAATTTTGTTGGTCTTCCCTTGTCTTCAGGCAACAATTCGAAACTTTTTGGAGTGAGGGAGACATTGACATACGCTCAAGCCATTATATATTGATCAGATAGAATTCCTCCGAACTTTGAAACTCTCCCTTGTAATTCCACAATTCTTTTATGTATTTGCGAGAATGTCGGGTAGGCACTCGTTAAGTTTTGCATCTGTTTTTCTTTTCGAAAGGTGAGAGTATAATAGCAAAGGTAGAGAGTGGGCAGAAGATGCGTAATGTTGCTGGGCAGTTTGGCGTGAACAGGTCTACAGTAGGCTGCAGTTCAATCTTATTTCAGAAAAATACTGTATAATCAAGAAGACTCAAACAGCTTAAGGAGTAACAAAATTCACATCTGAGAAATAAAGAGCATCAAAGAGCTCATAATAGAACCTGAAATGGATCTGACGACAGAAGCTCTTGCCAAGAACTCTTGAATGAAGAACACCAAGAAACTTGGTGAGATGTTTTCTTCTGAAAAAGAGGATTAATGCCAACATCTACTATTAAACATCTTTTGAAGTAGGAGGATACCAGAACAACAGTCTTAGAATGGCATCCAAACCAGGTTGAGGCTTGGGGATTTCTACAATTGCAATGCTATTAATTACTTACGAAAAATCCGGAAGGAGAGAGAAAAGCAATTAACATTAGACAGATTCTTTAACCCCACAAACGGAAAAAACATGACTAATAAAAATGCAAGACTGTGTATGTATGTATTTTTATTATTACATATAAATAAACGTAGTAAGAAAGTATATATTTTTTATTTTTGGGGATCTCCAGAATGAATTAATTAAATTCCCATTCAAACGATAATCGATAACGGTAAATCGATAATCGGTTAATCAACAATTCGGATAGCAAACAAAGTCTTGGAATGGATTATGTTCATTAACCGATCACCCACTGTATTAATAAACTTTATGATCATATTCAATAATAACTGAATCATACTTTTGAGTTCTATGAAAATAAATCTCTATTTGTATTATTGTTGGTCCTGTCTTAAGAGATGCACGTAAATATGTTATGTGTAAAACAAGTCTATCTGGATACAATTTCTAGGTTACAAATTATTTAATTTACAAGTAATTTCCCTGGGTGTTGATGTATTATCCCAATGTTCAACAAGATTGTAGATGCTGTTCTCAAAGAAGTGCCATAAGCAAAAACAGTCCTGAACAGCCTCAAAATACCTCAATATCAGAAGCAAATTGATAGCCTTTTAATGCCTTCTTCAGGGATTTGAATAAAATAAAAATATAATACAGTAATAAAAGTAATAATAAAATCTTACTCTATTTTATAAAGTTAAATTTCTCATTATATATAAATTGCTAATAAGAAACTCAAACCAAAACAACTCTTAAGAAGCAGTCCAATAATATTTTGATTAATATTTTTTGAATTTATTTTCATTCTTCAAATCTTCAAGTATTCAAATTTTAAGAATAATGTCATGTAAATTAGATCACAAAATTTAGAACAGTTCTTTAAACTAGACCAGTGGTGTCCAAACTATGACTCACAAGCAAAATCCAGCCCACAAATATACAGCTGTCCCTTGATAATCCGACAGGTATGGGACCAAAGGGGTGTCGGATTACCAAAAGTGTCCTGATTACTGAAAGTGATTACATATTTGGCATTGTTTTGCTAGCAGTAGTCTACAATATTCCCTACTCCAACTGTTCGAACAGAACTGCTCATGGAAAACACACAAAATGTGTGTCATCATGTAAGAATTGGGCAGGGAGATTCACATTGCAACATGCTTCTGTGCAAGCAGACATGTAACAGGGACGGGTACCTTGACTGGAGGTGCGTCAGACTATCAAGGGACAGCTGTATTTGATACATCATTTATAAATGACAGAAATGGACCTATTTTGTATATAAGGAATATCCAAATATTTTGGTCTGCCTACTTACAACTGATAATCTCCTAACTAACACTATGTAAGCCATGATCTTGTAATAGTAAAGATTATATGAAGACAAGGAAACAGTCTTGTGAAATACTGAGATGTGAATCTGTAACCCTTTGATAGTGGTATTGATGTCCAAGAAGTGCTCTTCTAAGGGACTGCACTGTTACACTTCAAGGACCAACCTGTATGGACTGATCCAACAAGGACCCTTAAGTCCAGAACTATCTTCAAAAAATAATGATGTCATCAATGTACCTCCTGTAAAGAAGGATATTGGGAAGTAATTGAAGGTGGGCCTTATTTTCTAACTGTTGGATCACCATCTCATGAAGGTCTCCTGACACTGGACTACTCATCGGGACCCCTTTCCTTGATGGTACACTATCTCATTAAATTGAAAGACCAAATAAAGTGGGCCAATTCTAAAATCTGATGATGGAAAGTTTCATCACTGACAAGATGAAATAACATATCATGGAGTGCACAAAAATATGGTGGAAATCTGATGGAGATGTACAGAGATTTAAAGTCTAAAACAGTGATGTTTTGGAGGTACCAATCTATTTTCACCATCCTTTGAAATGGGAAGAATTCTCCCAACCCTAGCAGACTTTCTGACATATACAGTCCCTATCATATAGAAGCATTTGCATCTGGTGTCTCACCAGATGCAAATGCTTCTATATGTTGGGTCCAGTAAATGTTCTAGGAGAAGAAGAATACAAGAGCATATCTCAGACATTCAACATGTCAAAATATCCACAGCTCTCTCTATGTATATGGCAGACCTGGAAAGAGTTGCTGACTTCACATGGCCCAAACTCCTCCTCACAATGTCACGCGCACAGCATTTTCGATAGAGGCCAAAGAAAGTTTTAAAGCTAATTTTCAGTCATCTGGTATAAATTTTAAGGCAGAAGTGGTGTTGTCAATATCCTAGCAGGCCTGTTAGAGACATTATAGTTGTTAGTTGAATGCTCATTATGCAAATGACAACACTTACATAGCATTAAACTTATATTTATATTTTAGAATGGTCATTCAAATTACATTGTTTTAAAAAAGTTTTGTACAAATAGGTGTTAGTTCTGATAACATTCCATCAGGTAACTGTTCAGTCACATCTGAAGAAGACTTTGGAAAAAGTTGGAAAATGTTATGCCGTGTTCATTTTTTGTATTTTATGTGTCTGTTGTACATATATCCTGGTGTGGAGTGGTGTGTAAAACTTTAACAAGATGTTTGTTTTTTTAAAAAAGTAGCTTAAACCACTATTGTGCTGACCCCCTCATTTGTATATTGTATTCCAAACTTATGATTTATTAGAAAATGAAGACACCATCAGAGTAGTTTCACCAGAAGCAGGCGGCAGCTCTGCTGCTCAGTATGGTGATTTGATGTATTTTAGTTATCAGTTTCTATTTTCTTCCAGTGTTCTAAATACTTGAATAACTTTTTTAGTTATATTTGAATGAATCATTTGTAGGTTAGGTTGTACTTCACTTCTTTAAAAGATTATATATTTAATATAATATACAGGGTGTCTCAGTTAAACGTTTCAGAATTTCTAAGAGGGGTAGGGTGAATCCCAACAGCTCAGAATCATATAGCACTGTGGGGTTGGAGATACTTTCCTGAAGCGGTGATGTACACAGAAACAGCTAACCTCTGGTACAGGCTTGCAAAGAAATTATGGATGGGAATACGCCTCATCGGATATTGTTTCGCGTACAAGCGTTGTGCAGCTGGCAGACCATAAATATTTGGATATTCCTTCTATACAAAATAGGCCTATTCTGTCATTTATAAGTGATGTGTCAAATATATTTGTGGGCTGGATTTTGCTTGTGAGTCATAGTTTGGACACCACTAGTCTAGTTTAAAGAACTGTTCTAAATTTTGTGATCTAATTTACATGGCACTATACCTAAAATTTGAATACTTGGAGATCTGAAAAATGAAAATAAATTCCAAAAATATTAATTAAAATACTATAAGACTGCTTCTTCACAGTTGCTTTGCTTTGAGTTTCTTATTTTGCAATTTATATATAATGAAAAATTTAACTTTATAAAATAAAGTAATATTTTATTATATTAATATAAAATAATATTAAATATAATAATTTTTTATAGAAATGCATATGTTGCAGTATGGAAGATATTTGAATATTGTGTTCCAGTTTGTACAACTATTTCAGAGTGTCTTAAGTGTTGAAGGTAATTTTTTTTTTTATTTTTACATTTCTAGTTGTTATTTATAACAGAGGTAAAGTATGCAATTAGTCAAAAAATGACCCCAAGATTTTTACATTTTTGGACTCAGGACCTTGAGAAATGCAAAAGCATTTTTGGGTTTTTTCTGTATGTATGTTAGTTTATATGGAGGGGCATGATTTTGTTCACCCACTTTGAAGCTTAATAACTCTTATGCCTTTTGTTGAAAATTTCTGAAATTTTGCACGGAGGGTTGTGTATTAGGAGATTGATGCTATTAAATTTTGGTGGTTAAAGGTTGACGGGTAGGGAGATAAAGGGGGTTTGTGTGTTATATCTTGGATAGGGTTGGACTTAATGACAATTTTACTCATTAGCATTTACAATTTTTTTTTATAAAACTCATCTCTACCCTCAAAATTAAGTTTTTTGCCATTTTATAATATTTAATAATATAAAAAGTTTTTTAAATAAAATCTCATAACAGATGATGGCGCACACAATTTTAAAGTTTAGCTAAGAAAGTTATGCAACTTTTGGCTAGATTTTTTTTACAATAAATTTGATGCAATGTAAATAACCAAAAAACAATGGGGTTTTTTTGTATTATTTTTAAGATAGAAATTTGGCTTAGAAACAGGTGTTTGTAATTTTTATTAAATAGCATATTTTATTTTATTCATCAAAATTAATTAATCATTTTAGAAACAAAGCAGAATAGATTGACTTAGTAAGATTTTAAGCTCCAAACTTCTTTAAACTGACTAAACCTGCTGAAAAGTATATAAAATTTAGAATTATGTACATCAGTTCTGATTATACATGTTTTTTTTTTCTTTTACAAAATTTTGATTTAACATGGTTGATTTTTAAACCAGAGAAAATTTATTGAAATTTATTAAATGAAAACAAATGTAAAAAAAAGTTAATTTTTTAATGATTTGTTTTGATTTAACAAATTTTAATAAATTTTCTCCTTTTTAAAAATTTTTATTTCATTTTAATTCTAAGAAAAATATTAATACTTCCTTGGAATGCAAGTTCTAAGAATTGCTTTAAAAAAGAAAGTAAAAATTTTTTAACAGTTGTTTTAAAAACAACTCTCAGAACTTGCATTTAAACTTGCTATACATCCAAGCAAATTTTTTAAGATTAACTGTTTTTTACAACTTATCTGAATTCATGTGACAACAGTGGGTGTGTTTAGAAATCCAATGACATAGTCTGTTTTATATGAAAGCTGCTTGCCACCTATCTGTTGGTACTCTCGACGCAAACCAATTTGACCCACTAGAGGGACCTTCCCAATAACCAAAAAATGTTTTATGACCCTTTGTCTTCACTTGTTCCTTTGTTCAGACTACTATCTGTCAACACATACAGACGTTTGTCCTACTGTTATGTAAAGATTCATTTGTACATTAATTCCTTGATTAAACGAAGATACCTTAACCCAGGGGCGCCGCTAGCTGTTTGAACGCCCATGTGCAATACCGATTATGCCGCCCCCTGTTTAACTACGATTACCTATGCTGAGCTTGCCAGAAAAGCTCTTTGCCGCCCCCTGGACGTGCCGCCCGCGTGCGGTGCACGCCTTGCACGCCCGCTTACGGCGACCCTGCCTTAACCAATACAATGTGTTTCGTCTGAGTGTCTCTCCACTGATTCCAGATTAACGACACTATCTTGCCCAATTAGTGTTTCATTCAGACTTACCCATGATTGAAGCAGTCAGGAAAAATTAATTTGAAGTTTGATGATTTGTTTTATGATTGATTTTTTTTTTTTCTTCCTCTTTCAATACAAAATAATTTTTGTATGCTATTTGGTGTTAAAAGCTAGAAATATTTTTGTATTTAATTGAAAAAGTCAAATAAAAACTTATGAAATTTATGAAAATTATATAAATTTATGAAAGTTTATTGATAAGTAAGTTAGAATATCTCTCCTCTGATTTAATAACTAAAATTAAAATACTTTAGTTAATCCTATTATATTATTTTTACTGTTTTTAAGATATGAAACTAATGTTCTATTTTTTCATAAGGACAGTACATTTTTTACACAGATTTTTTTTAGAAACAGAATTGGATGTATAGCCATTTCTGAAATTATTAATTAAATTAGAATACTTGAGATGTCGACTTTAACTACTATCAGGTTAAACTTTCAGCCTAAAAATAATGTAAAAATATCCAGTAGTATTCGTTTATGTACAGTACTTTAAAATACAAATAAATAAATAAATGAAGTGAATTTTGGGTTTAATTTATATATATTAATGCAACATAGTTTCCTACAATTTACATATCTACATTACTGTATTTAGAACTGAATTTACATCCATGTTATATTAAAGAAATTGGACAAAATTTCTTGATTTTCTTTTGTTTTTTTATTTATGAAGTCATTTAAAAATTACAGATAAAAGGTCAAAATCTTTTAGTTATTGATATATAATTTTTCTTTTCTGTTTAATTTCACATTGAAGTGATGACGATTTAAGACATCAGATTCTCGATACATCCACTTTATTCAGTACCATATGTTTTGTATATTTGTTTGCCAGTACATGTGTTGGGTTTCCACTCTTTTTCTGTTGGCATGATGCACAGCTTGTACAATCAATTTGCTTCTTGTTTTTTACATTAAAATCTATCTTCAGTTTGCCAATATCCTTTACAACATTCCTTTATTTTAATAACAAGTTCATATTGAAATTTCAACAAAAGAAAATAATTTTTCCATGTTCATTTAATTAAAATTTGTTAAAATAAAACTTATTTTTCTTTTGATTATTGTAAAAGCAATCTGTATTGTATTTTTATACAAGTTACATCAAGCTATTATAGAAAACAAATGTTAGAAATTACTTTTTCAAAATGACATTTCTGAGATGGTAAAGATTTTGGCAAGTAATTGCCAATTTCATTATTATTTAACTCTCCATATCTGATAGGGGCGAGTTTAGCCTGCGGAGGTGTTGGTGACTTTTTTGCTGAGCTGTTGTGGCGACATTAAACATGGAATTTTTACAACAGAATATTAAGTGTAGAAATGAAATAAGTGGTTTAAATGTTTCATTAACTCAAATAATAATTTTTATTTTACTAATGATTGCTGGCATTGAGTTAAATCCAGGACCTTTTCCTCGATCTCTTCCAATACCAAGTCAAGCAGTTATGCAAAAAAGGGGACGAGGAAGACCACGTAGAGAGCATACAAGAGATATAGAAGAAAATACTCAGACAAACGAAATGTCAGGAGATGAATACTTAATTGAGGAACATTCCAAGAATACTATTGATATCTCGAGGTATGCTACAATTAAAGACTTTTTTGAACCGGCAGAAGATCTTCCATTAACAAGTACTACTGAACCTGAATACTCACTTAAATCAGTCTATGAATTGATCCAAGATAAATTTGATCATCTGAACTTCGAAGTCCATTCCTTGAGAGCTGAAATTAACCGTATGAATGAAGAAAATTTAAAGATAAAGGAAGAGATGAAAGACATGTGCAAAAAACTACGTATATTAGAAGAAAGAACAGATTCCCATAGCATGCTAAAAAGTATGGTGGATTTAGAAATTGATAAAATGTTAAACGAGACGACTAAGAAGAATCTAATAATATTTAATTTTCCATTCAAAACTTCGGAATATGTAGAAGAGTTGAAAAAATTTATAAAAGAAAACTTAGAACCTAATTGTATGGAAATTGAGGGTCTTATTCAATTAGGAAATAGAAAAAATAACCAAGTATTTAAGGTTATGACCAAATTGGTGAAAGATAGAAACTTAATTCTTAGTAAATTCTGGACCACAAGATTGAAAATGATAAATGAAAAGAAAAAAATAATAATATCAATGGACTTATGCTCGAGATCTAGGATCAGGAGAAAGTTACTATTAAAAAATATTAAACTAGAGAAATCGGATGATAACAAGATAAAAATAAGAGATGATTACTTTTAAAAGATAATGCAATGTATACATAAGATTTGAACACTAGAGAAATAATTCAGCTTAATCATTTTTTAGAGACAAATATAATATAAGATTAGCTAAAATAAATCAAAATTTAAAAACAATACAGGAAAAAGGGAGAATGATTAATAATATGGAGAATAATAATAGAAAAATGAGTGATGATAATTTGATAGTCAAAGATAATGAGTTGAATGAGAAAAAAGTAGAAATTCCAAAAAGAGAAAAAAATAATGTGACAATTAGCTTTTGGAATATTCAAGGATTAAGAGGGAAATTATTCAAAACCTCAATGAGAAAATTCCTGGACTCAAATGAAATAATTGGTTTTTTAGAAACCTGGATTCTAAAATTTAGTGATATGGAAATAAAATATCTAGAACAAGATAATAGTGTAATAATTAGCAATGCTCAACGCAAAAATAGATTTGGTCGGCCGTCATGTGGAATTCTATTACTTATTAAGAAGAGATTAGGTGAAATATTTCTCCAATATACATCGCAATATATCATTGCTGTTATAATAAAATTAGAGAATAAAATCAAAATGACATGGTCTTACACGTATTTGGGAGTGGTAGTAATATATATACCACCCTCTATTGAGAAAAAACCAATTTTAAACGAAGTGCAAAAAGTTTTGGATAGATGGTCTAGCCTGACGCAACTATGGATAATAGGTGGTGATCTAAACGCACGAATTGGCGAAGTAACTGACACCATATTTTTTCAGACGTTTGAAAATATAGCCAATAAGAGAATATCCAAAGATAAAGTTTTAAACACAGAGGGAAAAATACT